TAATATCTAATATCTAATACTATTAATTATGATTTCAACCTTATTTTACATGATTTCCAAAGCATCAGTAAATACAGGTGAGCGACACAGGCTCTTGAGAGCCTCTAGTTTTTTTATTTATACTAAAACCTAAATATGATTTGAAATTTAAAAATAAAAATCATCCAATTTTTCCGCCAGTGATTTCAATCTCTTAAATTAAAAATAAGAAAGCAAGTGACATGATACAAGATTTTCAAGCTAAACGTGCTTCCTCCGTACATTATCTAAGTCACTTGAATTTATATTGATTAAAACAAACAAAATCTGCATAAATTCAGTGAACTTACTAGTGATGCTTGCCAGGCCAATGTGCTGATATTTTTCAATGATCTATATAGGGTCATTAAACAACCAGGGATTTCAATATAAGAGCATATTTAGGGACAGCTCCATCAATGTCCTTCACATGCACATGATGCTGCTTCTTTTAAAAATTCATATATTTACAAAATATATGCTCAATATTTGAATAATTACTTGATTATTGAGAATAAGTTCTGGTCTATTTAAGAGAAAAGAAAAATGTGAAAGTTTTTAAGATCAGAGTTATTTTGATTTATAAGATAAAAGAATATGCTCTATGAATATCTAAATTCAGCTGGCAAAATGTGTTTTTATGAGATATTTTACCCAATGCATTTTCAATTTCAAAGGTTGAATAGTATATTTCTTAGTGTCTGGATACAGCCATAATTTTCCAGTCATGACAGATCTAAAAGGTCCTTGATTGAAATGTATTTTGGGATTTATGTAAAGTTGTTTTTTTTTAATGATTTTTACAAAGATCGAACACAATTATCAATACCATTTGTTTGTGTCAGATATTGGATTATTAGTTACAAGTTAGAAAGTATTGGTTTCAATTCATTTTCAAATATAAAACAGAAAATTCTGACCAAGTACAGATGATTGACTTTATTATAAAATAACTTTTTTAAGTAAAGCCTATCAACATTTTAGAATTAAAGTTTTCTTTTCAATATATTTAAGGTTCAGACGAACATGCCGATATTCTTTACACATTATAAAAATAAGGAGATCAGGTAACAATGATTGCCAATGAGACAACTATCCACCAAAGTTCAAATAAAGTGGATGTAAGCAATTATAGGCAACCATACGGCCTTCAACGATGAGAAAAACCCATACAGTATAGTAGACTATTAAAGGCCCAAACATGAAAAATATGAAACAATTCAATTGAGAAAACTAACTGCCTAATTTATAACAAAAAAATTTACGAAAAAATAAATACGACAGACATGAACCAGCAACAATCACTGAACTACAGGCTCCTGACATGGAACAGGCACATAAGGAATGTGGCAGGGTTAAACATGTTTGTGAGCGCTCAACCCTCCCCCTAACCTGGGACAGTGGTGTAACAGCACAACATAAGAACAAACAGTTGAAAAAGGCTTAGCTCATCAGATCAATACAAAGCAGAAAAACATCAAACATAAACACATACCGGATGTGGCATGGTATTTATCCATCCCTCATCCCTAACAACAAAGGGACACTAAGTACAGATCTAATAGTACTCACAGTTACTGACAGCTAGTTCAAAGCTAATAACAACTAATAAAAAAAAATCATGCATCTAAGACTAAAATATCAATCAGTGCACATCCAACATTCAATGGATTTAGTGTAAAGACGTCATTAACAGTCAGAGAAAAACATGACCTTGTGCAATGCAAAAATAAAGGAATCGACAGATTGTAGTACCGTTAAAGTGCATATGTATATAACAAAACTATTTAGTATGATTTTAATTTACTGATAACAAATCAATATTTATATCAATAAAAAACAATATTCAAAGATCTAATTACAGTGTTGAATTGGTAACCTTTTTGAATAAGTTTATTTAAAGGATTGATAAGTTTACCCGGATCGTATATAAATTCCCAGGCTTGGTAAACAACATCACCGTAAAATTAAGGATGTGCTATTCTGTCTGAAATAAGTTTTTTACAGGTACAGCCAAACTTGCAAACCAAATCTTTGTATCTATGGAAGAATTTAGTAAAGGTTTTAAGTAATTTGTGGTTACGAAATCTCTGACTTAATAATTTACCACTAGTACATAGATTTCGCTCATTGAAATCCAAAATGTCGCTACAGACACAGGCACAACGAACGAGTTGGGATATATAAGATGGTGCCAGAGGAGCATCACCGTCCAAAAAAGGAAAATTAACAATAGGGAAAGAAAAATCATCCCTTTTGTCGTAAATTTTTGTGTAGAGTTTTTATTGTAAAACTGAAATATCTAAATCTAGGAAAGGACACTTATTGCTGTTAATATTTGATTTATTTCAATTAAGTTCCTGTGGGTAAACTTGGCAGTATATTTAGAGAATTCTTGATTAATTAACAAAAAAATATAATCAAGATAAAGGTAAGTGTTGTTGAATTTATGAATTAAATGGAATTTAGAAGGGTCTTTACTGAGTTTGGCCATTAACTGTGATTCATAAGTTGGTCCAAATTGGGGTCCAAAATTAAAGTTTGTTTGATTTCATCAAAGTGAATTATTTTGTTCTTTGATGTGCGCAATCTAACATTGTTTTAATTTTTTTATTTTTGGCCTGTTTTTCAAACTTGTCCACATTAAAGTCCAAAATAGCCAAAATTAAACTTAGTTTGATTTTAACCAAAAGTTGAATTCTTGTGGTTATTTGATATGCTGAATCTAAGCATATAATTAGATTTTTGTTTTTAGGCACAGTCTTCAAGTTGGTTGAATTAAATGGAGTTTAGAAGTTTAGAAGGGTCTTTACTGAGTTTGGCCATTAACTGTGATTCATAAGTTGGTCCAAATTGGGGTCCAAAATTAAACTTTGTTTGATTTTATCAAAAATTTAATATAAGGGGTTCTATGATATGCTGAATTTAAGTAATATTGAGAATATAAATGGGGAATATGTCAAAGAGACAACAACCCGACCAAAGAACAGACAACAGCCGAATGCAGCGAGAAAATCCCGCACCCGGAAGTGGTCCTCAGCTGGCCCTTAAATAAAATTGTGTGCTAGTTGAGTGAAAATGGATGTCACACTAAACTCCAAAACATATAAATGAACTAAAATTAAAAAACATACTAGACTAACAAATGCCAAAGGCTCCTGAAGGGACAGGCGAAAAAATGCGGAGGGGTTAAATATGTTTTGTGAGATCTCAACCCTCCCCCTATACCTCTAGCCAATGTAGAATAAAGAAACACATAGCAATACGCACAGTAAAACTCAGTTTAAAAGAAGTTGGAGTCTGATGTCAGAATAGGTAACAAAAGAAACTAAGCAAAATGACAATAAAATATAAATGAACAAAGGACTACTAGCAGTTGCTGACATGCCAGCTCCAGACCTCAATTAAACTGATTGAAAGATTATGTCTTCATCATATGAAAATCAAGTACAATCCCTCCTGTTAGGGGTTTAGTATCATACCATCATAAAAATATATGAGAAGAACATAACCCGTATCATGCCAACAACTGGATTTAGAATAAATGTGTTTATTTCCGATGCAAAGACCCTATGAGTGAATCAATATTAATACCAAAATATGCAATCCTTAATGACTTGACAACAGTATCATAACTATATCCTTTCCGAATAAGTCTGTTTAAAGGTTTGGTTAGCTTTTGAGGTGAATGCCGACATTTTTGTGCTTTGTAAAGAATATTACCATAAAATATTGGATGTGAAATACCTGACCTTATAAGATGTCTGCATGTTGATTTATATTTACGAATGATGTCCTTGTACAGATGATAAAATTCAGTAAAAGTTTTGACTAGTTTGTTATATCGAAAACCCTGGTGTAATAATTTTTCAGTAATACAGAGATATCTTTCCTTTAAATCAAATACGTTGTTACATACATGAGCGAATCGAACAAGTTGAGATATATAAACACTATAAGATGGCGACAAGGGAACGTCACCATCTAAAAATAGATAATTAACAATAGGAAATGAAAAATCATCTCTTTTATCATAAATTTTGGTATTAAGCTTCCCGTTAAAGATAAAGATATCAAGATCCAGGAAAGGGCAGTGTTCATTGTTAGTATTAGCTTTATTTAAAGTCAGTTCGGCAGGATAAATCTCTTTAGTGTACATACTGAAGTCGTCATTATTGAGAGCCAATATATTATCTAAATATCTAAAAATGTTTTTAAATTTTTTGAATCAGATGTTGTTTCGATGGGTCTTTGCTGAATTTAGTCATAAATTGTATCTCGTAACAATACAGAAACAGGTCCGCAATAAGTGGTGCACAGTTAGTCCCCATGGGAATTCCGATAACCTGACGATATACGGAATCTCCATAGCGAACAAAAATGTTATCTAGTAAAAATTCAAGGGCAGTTATAGTATCAAAGCAGGTTCAATTGACATAGTTCTTTTGTTTGTTGTTACTAAAAAATGACCTAAAAGAGTTTGAACATATATATTCGCATTCCGACTTTTTAAATGCCCATTTAATCAGGTGTGTGTGTGTGTATTTAGATTTTGGATTTTGGGTCCTGTTATCAAATTGGTTCACATTGAGGTCCAAAGGGTCCAAAATTAAACTTTGTTGTATGTAGCATGATAAATTCTGAAGGAAATTGCAGTTTTATGTCTCATTAAATTTTTTGCAGTTTTAGACTGTTTTATTCCACATATTACTTTTATTTAAAAGAACAAAAAGGTAATGTGTGATAAAAACATGTAATTTGAAGTATTTTAAATCTTCATAATCTTACCTATGTACCAAACATTTTTGATTAACATCATTTATCTCAAAATAGTTCAAAAGTTATTTCTGATTTATTATATTCCTTTATCTTTTGAAGAATGTAGATGAGGTATAATGTAAAGGTCTGAAATAATGAATACATATAATTTAGTTGTACTTCTATTAAGTACAGTTACAACATACAGGTTCAATTTGTTGCAGGTTGGTGATAGTATTGTTAGAAAGGCAAGAGAAACTTTAGAAAGGTCTATCAAACTGGTAGAAGACACACCAAAGTGGGCAGCAAAAGTTTTGTATGGCGATACTGATAGGTAGATTTGATTATACAGAAAAAATAGTTATTGCTTTGAAAATTTAAGTAATATAGTTGAGCTATTGCTATTTGCTTCATTCCAGTCATATATGATATTTGCATCAATCAACTATTTCATTTTTGTCATCCATTGTATAAAAGGCTTTGACTTCTACTTGAACAATGAATCAGTTTAGTCCAAAAGAGCAAAATCAGCAAAATATTCTTTAGAACAGGTATTTCCAAAATCTTTATCCGTAGAAACTGAAGATGACAGATTGCAGGTTGTTGTTACTTGTTCAGTGCTAATCAGCCTATTCTTATGTTCTTCATTATTTATTTTACATCAAACCCTGTCAAAAATATATATAAAAATTTTCTTTTTGATATGGAACCCTTTACAAATGTTTTTAGTCTATGACATGAAATCAAACAAAAATCTTTTATAATTGTCATTTAACTATTGCACATGCTTGTCTCTGGTTATACCAAGTTGCATGACCATCTTCAGTCTTTGGAGGTCAACTAGATTGTAAATTAGATGGTGTCTAAGTCCTAGTGCATTTGAATATGCACGAAAAGCTGATACTTTATTATGTTTTTATACATTGTTTGTTGTTTCCCATAGAACTTTTATAATTCTGTTATCAATCAAATTATAGTCAATTATAGTGATTATGAATTTGTCAGCTAATGACCTTACAACTTCAACAATACTTTTTTCAGCATGTTCATCTTATTGAAAGGTAGAAGTAAAGATGATGCCTTTAAGATTGGTTATGAGATATGTGATGCTGTAACAGCTATGCATCCAAGTCCGATTAAACTCAAATTTGAAAAGGTAAATATGATTTAATCTAAACCAAGATAATTACTGGTATGATTAATTTGATTAAATGATTATGTATGATTCTGTGCACAACGCTTGTTGAGGTAGACAAGACTTGAGTATTACTCTTACAGTGATGAAGTTGTCAACTAATTTTGTCTTGCCTACCACCAATATCAAGAAAGCTTCATATTTCAGAAGATAAAAGAGTTGAATATTGTCTGGCATTTTTCTGTTGTCCTTTACCTAATTCTCATTGTTCATTGACTACTTAAAAACTATAGGTTTTTCAAAACATAAATTTTCGGTTTTGATGAGTAATTATAAAGACATATACATAATCATTAGAATGCAGCCTTACTTTTAATATATGGTAAAATTAATGAAAAAAAGATCCCTATTGACTTTGAGGTCAATATGTTTAAGGTCGAATATGAAGCCCTCTTCCGTCCCTCCCGTTAATAATTCAAATCTGTTTTTTTTCAAAATTTCAATCCCAAAAAATTTGACCGTCTCTATTTTTTATTACCATTGATGTCAACATTAATTACGTTTTGTGTCACTGATGAAGGTAATGTTTACCTGTAAATCAAAGAACATCTGTAATTATATGGCTTCACTTGACAGCTTGGGTGTCAACCATACTATTAAGTAACGATTTTCACCTCAGGCTAACTGCAATTATGTAATAAAAGCTTTGTGTATTTGAAAACACTTAAAAGAAATTTTGGGTTACTTCCAGCTTGTTTTATCATGTCTTAAAATAATGTAAATTGATAAAAGAATATAAATGAAATACAAATTTGGTTCAGGCAAACTCAAGTAAGAGAACAGAAACCAATTTTGGGATTTACAGACGTACGTACAAGTAAGGGACGTACATACTTACAGAAGAACAAGGATAAAACTCAATACGGTGGGGGGCATAATAATAGCAGTATGACCACAGGAATAAAAAGTTTATATACACTAGATTCATAGAGGTGCTTATAACCCTGTAACACATCTTAGTTGCTGCTGTGAAATTTAGCATTTAGGCAATAACATTTGAGATTTTTGGTTTTAAGCCATTCATTTGATATACTAGTAATCATTGCCTCTGTGTTTGGATGACACATTGTTAATTATAGGTCAATCTTAAAGAATCATACTGCCCCAGGAATAAAGTGTGAGGATAAAAAGTTCTGGATCCGCCACTGCATTGTTAAGCATTAAGAAAGTCATTTTGCTAGTACATGGACAAATGTTATTTAATCATGTTGATACGAATTGTCGTTGAGTCAATGTTTTTCTGCTGTCAGTTTGATCCACTTGAGCATGCTAAACAAGGGAAGGTCCTTATATCCACATTTGAATGTGAAACAGCTAATATTTAAATAACGGAATTAAAAGTTTTCAAATGATTTTTGGCATCAAAACCTTCTGATCGATGTTTTGAAAAAAACAATGCACTTTTCTATCAAAGCCGGTATTTACCTTTACTCATCCTTGACGTGACACATTAGCCATATAGTTATCGAGTATTTTTAATTTTATCACCTGTGTATTGTTCAATCAAACCATTATCACTTGTCAACTATCCGACGGCTTGGTCAAAATATCAACTTGTTCTTGCATTTCAGTCAGTCATACCGGATTCTTTCGATACACTCGGGCATTTACTTATTCAATAATTGAACATTTGTAAATATCATGAAATATTCATGAATGAAACGCTGTCTCGTGTAGATTTCTTTTGATTTTCTCTTCAGCGCATGGCAGATCCGCGATGTAGTGTTTGTGATACTCATTTTCAAAATGAAGTTAAATTCATCTGAATTGTAGGTGAACATTCCTTCCTGTTTTATTCAAGCTGTAATCTTTTCAAAAGAGTAGAAACTCAAAATTTCAAAAGCATCTTCCTAGAAACAGTATTCAAACACTAATACTACATTATCTTGGATCAGAACATTTGCGATAGTCTGTCACTGGAAGTTTTAGGCCGACGCCTTGGGAAAGTAGCTATAGCAAGCTACAGCAAACTTTCCCAAAAATGTTGGTTCCCAATTTTGAACTTTTCCCAAGGGAGACAATCATGATCAGCCAATCAAAATTGGTGTTTCTCATGATTACATTAATAAGACAATCAAAATCAGTGTATCTCATGATTATGGGGCATTACAAACATGCAAAAATTTTAACATGCTTGGAACTTTTGAGTTGTATTCCTCCGTCTGTAAGTCAGAATTGTAAAAATTGTGATCATGAATCGATTCTGGCCATCTGCAAGGATATCTTATGCCCCTTAAGAAGAAGTAAAGCGTGGCTGAAGAACAAATTCAACAATTATCACATGTCTTTTGCAAAGTCTGCAATAAACTGATAGAGACCAAAACGTTGACCATTACGCCTGAATGACGTTTCAAAGCCTCAAGGACTATCAATTTCAACAGAAACCCTTCACAGCTCAGAATACTACCAAGTCTGTCAGTAATTATTTGTACGACCAGATGATGAGCTTCTTAAGATGGTCAAGCAAGCATGTACAGATAATACAAAAGAACTACTCACAAGACATTTTCATTGATGTGATTATATAAAAATCAGAAGATGTGGTATAACTGCCATCGAGACAAATCTCTACAATAGACAAAATGACACAGAAATTAACAACTATAGGTCACCGTATGGCCTTCAACAATGAGTAAAACCCATACCGCATAGTTTATGTATAGTAGCGTTAATTTACATGACAATTTGAAAGTTTCACTTTAAAAATTAATAGTACTTTCATTGATTTCAATGATGAGAATTTATAAAGATAAGAATTTGCATGTTTATATTTTAGTAGTAAACAATAGATGTTGATTTTAGTAGCAGTAGTTCAGAAAAGTAATTAATTATGATTAATTGTTTATTTCACATGTTATTGACCACTACTTGAGACATTAAGAATTCTTATATAAATATGTTCTGGCAAATTCAGCATTTCCATTTGGTAATTAAAAGGTCAAAGGTTTGATACTAAAGATAAATTTAGAATATTAAGTAATAGGCTAATGGGGCAGTGAAGTTAGTTATAATTAGTCTTATAGTTTTAGGTTAGTTTTAGAATGACATTTGCCTTACGAACATCTTATATCTTGAATTATGTATCATTTTTGTCTCGCCTTGACGAAGTCAAAAAGCGAGACATAGGTATGCTGTTTCTGGCAGCGGCGACGTCAACATTGTTTTAGTTTGTGATTAGGTCAAGTGTATGGTGAACCACTAGTGGTAGGTCAATGATATTTGGTATTAGCATTGGCACATCTCATTTTCATGGAGATTATTTGACCCTGCCCCCTCAGTCATGGTCTATTGACTTTGAAACTTTTGCTTAGTTTACATGTATTAGTTTGTGATTAGGTCAGTTCAAGGGGAACCATTAGTGGTAGGCCAATGTTAATTGGTATGCAGTTGTATAAGCATTGGCACATCTCATTTCCATGGAAAATATTTGGCCCCACTCCCTCAGTCATGGTCAATTGACTAATGAAACTTTTGCTTAGTTTACTTGTTTTAGTTTGTGATTAGGTCAGTTCAAGGGGAACCATTAGTGGTAGACCAATCAGGGCTTCCAAAGTTATTTTTAGCCAGCCGGACATTTTATATATTATCCCGATTTTAATCCCTTAAGACTAAATAAATAAAAGGCAATTATGGTAATCAGTTGCCGTGTTGGCCATCCCAATGATTGACATTAAAAAAAAAGATATTAAACTTTCTTTGATTCAAATTCGAAGTTCCGATGTAAACTGTTAAATTGGCAGTGCATCATTCGAAGTGTGCAATATCAGCATACTTATATCTGCTTAGACTCTTTATTTGTGCTAAATAACGTTGTCAAAAACTTTACTTTCGTTTTTAAATCTAAACCAGATGTTATCTTGACATGGTAAAACATGGACCAGAGTCGGATACGAAAACTCCGTGTACGTTTGCAAAGCATGAATGAGTGTAAGTAGCTCTTTCTACAATATTTCTTCAAGAAAATATTCGAAATAAACGTGAGATAAAGGTATCAATGACAATTTAAGCATTTTTTGAAGAAATTAGGATGCATAATTAAATTTCACACCTGCGCAGACGTATACCAGTTCAAACAGAGACATGTCTCTGGTTCAAAAAACGTGTCGGTTATGACGATTTTTCATTTTCACCTTTTTAATTTTTTCATCAAATCATATTTGTAAACGTATTTCTGATAATTTAAATCTTTTTAACTAAATTAATTAGATGCAAGCCGCTGAAATGTAAGAAAATAACTGAATAGACCAATGTCCGGTTCAAAATAGTTTACCTGTCACCTGAACAGGTAAATTTCAGCTGTTCGACAACTAATTAGCCTTGATTAAAATGATCATGTCACTTTTATGACCGCAAATGTGTGGCTGTTAAAGGCAAAAGGTTGGGTCAAAAAGATCGCGAATTATGTTAAAATGACCGTCTCTTAAGCCTTGAAAACTAAAAAGTAGATGTCCGTTTCATGCTTTTCCCAGCTGGACTTTTACCGGACATTATACAAATGTCGGGAATATATGACCGTTTTGGAAGCCTTGAGGCCAATGTTAATTGGGTATGCAGTTGTATAAGCATTGGCAGTTTGGCACATCTCATTTCCATGGAAAACAATTGGCCCCGCCCCCTCTGTCATGGTCAATTTACTTGGAAACTTAGTTTACATGTTTTAGTTTGTGATTAGATCAGTTTAAGATGAACCGCTAATGTTAAGTCAATGATATTTGGTATGCAAATTTATTGGCATTTGCAAGTCTAGTTACCATATATATTATATAGCCCCACCTCCTCATCATGGTTCATTGACCTTGAAACTTGTACATAGTTTACAAGTTAATGTTTGTCTTTAGGTTTGTTTAAAGGAAACGACTTATGATAAGTCAATGGTATTTGGTATGCAGTTGTATTAGCATTTGCACATCTCATTTCCATGGAGATTGTTTAGCCATGTACCTTCAGTCATGGTTCATTGACTTTGAATATTTGCATAACTTACATGTTAAAGTATTGCTCTTTTAATTTCAACATTTGCATTATCAAAATTACAAAAAGGCGAGACATATCTCTGTGTTAACAGTTTATTAATCTGTATCATATGAACTATATTTTGAATTATGGATGCCTGTTAACTAAACAATAGTTCCTTATTCTTGTGATCTATTGGACCAAAAGGCATTTCCCCATATTTGATATTCTTATAGGAGCAACACCACCTCATGAAAATAGTGGTAACCCCACTCCTACATATGTTTAGTAAAATCAGATTAATAAAATATGAATCAAGTTTAATACAATTAAGTCAATGAGGTGTGCTTTCTTTGATGACATTTGAGTTGCAGTGCTACCATGAACATATAAGATAGTAGTTTATGGACATTACACTTACTGTAACAATATCATACAGTGTTGTCATTCTTGTTATTAAATTATCTAATCATTTAAACTATTGTCTTTTATTTTTCACAACAAATCAGATAAATAATATAAGTACAAGAATCCTGCAAATAAAAAGAAGAAAGGGGATTATGTGCTCATCATCAGTATACCATAAGAAAAAAATAAGATACATGTATGACATTATTTCTTAGAGTACAAAACAGTGCACGCAAAAACGCTGCAAAAAATGTAACCTTTGAAAATATTATGCCCATGAGGATTTTCAAAAGTTGGTAGGTATGTTTGTATAGTTACTAAAAAAACCAAATGTGTGCATAAAAGTGGTTTCATAAGGATTAATCAAATGCTTTATATGGTATTGCAACCTAAATCAAATATAATGAGAAGAAGATCCTTATTAGATTTGAGGTCACTAGGCCTAAGGTAAAGATCAAAGTTACTTAAAATATACCAAAAGTTGTTCAGAAAAGGGTTTATACATGCCATATTAAATATGTTGTATCAGATTGCATCCTTACTTACATTATTGTGCACATATAATTAGAGGAAGATTCCTATTGATTTTGAAGAAACTTCATTTGAAGGCCGAGGTCATAGTTACTGTTTCCAGATGCTCAAACAAATATTCTATAAGATGAAGGTCCCTATTGATTTTGTGGTCACTACATCTTTGAATAAGGTCATAGTTACTAAAAATATTGTTTTGTGTGATAATTTTACTGTCAAAAATCATAACAAAAAAGAAACATGCCTAAAAGTAAATAAAAAGCAGACAGCTAATTGGTTACTGCAATGTATAAGCGCTTCCTCTTTGTAAGAGGGTATGGAGTATGTAAGCATTCTCAATAAAGTTCTATTAATTTTCTGTTTGTGTATCATTTCCAGATGATTTAGTACCTATTTAATTGCTGTTTACTTGATTCCTTACTACCATAATATAAGCATAGTAAATTGTAGTCTCTAATCTTTATGAAATGCATACAAAAAATTATAATGATTCCAAATAACAAGTTGATGAAAAACCTACAACACCATGGCAAAAAGAAAAAAATACTGAAAGACAAGCAACCATCCCCCAAAACTATGCAGAAAACTAGAGATTGAACAAGGCAAACCCCACCAAAAAAGGTAACTTTTGTTGATGAATGACATCAAGGATCATTTATTGGTATTTGTACAGGTCTTCTATCATTTTTTATATTTTATTTTATTTAGGTTTATCTTCCTTGTGTCTTGCAAACAAAGAAGAGATATGTAGGATTTAGTTATGAAATGCCAGACCAAAAGGAACCAGCATTTGATGCTAAAGGCATAGAAACAGTGCGAAGAGATGCATGTCCTGCTGTAGCAAAGGTTTGAATGTGCAATATTATGTCCTTGTAACTAATTTTAAAGTGGCTAAGGAAAATAGTTGACCTATGTCTGTCTATTATTCTGTCCTGTGATCATTTGTCATTGTAATATTGTAGAATTATCTAACAATGTTTTAATGCTGTTTTAGCTTAAATACATTACAAGTAAATCATGCATTTTATAAATAACAAAGAACAGATTAGATATTTTCACATCAGCATTCAAAATGTTCCTGGTCTGAATTTTTTGGAGCAAGGAAGTGTATTTTCATATTTTCAATAGACATTTTTAGCTCACCTGGCCAAAAGACCAGGTGAGCATTTCTCATCACTTGGCTTCCGTCCTCCATGGTCATTAACTTTTTCAGAAAAATTCTCCTCTACTTGCCAAATTAAACCAAACTTAGCCACAATCATCATTAGGGTATCTTAAACTAGTACACATTTTTGTTTAGGGGCCAGCTGAAGGCTGCCTCCAGGTGAGGGATTTTCTCGCTGTGTTGAAGACCCATTGTTGGCCTTCAGCTGTTTTCTGCTCTTTGGTCGAGTTGTTGTCTCTTTTACACATTCCCCATTCCCATTCTCAATTTTATCTGGTATAAAAAATGTGTCCTATGAGTCTAACCCTACCTTCTAACCAAGATGGCCCACATGGCTAAAAATAGAACAGTAGGGTAAAAAAATAGTTTTGTCTCTTAAAAACCACTATGAATAGAGAAAATCTGACAAGGGCAGAAATGTTCAGAATGTTGAGATGGACCTGCTGTCCAGTTACGACTTCTTGTAGGAGTTATTGTACTTAGATATCAAATTTTACCAATTTTTATACGACTGCAAAAAATTTGCGTTAGTATAATGCTATGATGTCGTTGTCGTTGTCCAAATTTGGTTTCCGGACAATACCTTTAGTTGAAGTGAATGGATCTCTTTGAAATTTTACCAGAAGGTTCAATACCACAAAAGGAAGGTAGGGATTGATTTTGGGGGTTATGGTACCAACAGATTAGGAATTAGGGGTCAAAAAGGGGCCAAAAACAAGCAGTTTTGTTGTTTCCGGACAATTACTTGTGTTTAGTGTATGGAGCTCTCTGAAATTGTACCATAAGGTTCCATATCACAAAGGGAAGGCTGTGATTGGGTTTGAGGGAATTGCCCCAAACATTCAGGAATTAGGGGCAAAAAAGGGGCCAAAAACAAGCATTTTTCTAGTTTCCAGACAATAACTTGTGTTTTAGTGTATGGATCTCTCTGAAATTGTACTACAAGGTTCCATATCACAAAGGGAAGGCTGGGATTGAGTTTGGGGTAATTGCCCTAAACATTTAGAAATTAGGGGCAAAAAAGGGGCCAAAAACAAGCATTTTTCTAGTTTCCAGACAATAACTTGTGTTAAAGTTTATGGAACTCTCTGAAATTGTACATTTTTCCTGAAAAGATAATAATCTTAAAAATTTTTAAAAAAATTTTGAGGTGGGTTCAAAAAGTTTGGGGGGTGGGTATTTTTTTCCAAATTTTTTTGGGGGTTCATATTTTTTTTCTTCAATATTTTTGAAATTTCAAACTATTTGAAATTTTTTTTTTTGGGGGGGGGATTTTTTTTTTACTTTTTTTAGGGGTCTCATACTTTTTTTCTTCAAGATTTTTCAAAATTTCAAATGTTTTCAAAAAAAAAATTTGAGGGGGGGGGCAAATTTTTTTGGGGGATTTTTTTTTTCATAATTTTTTGGGTTTTTTTCCCCCAAAATTTTCCATTTTTACATTGATTATTTCTGATTTATATATAAAAGCAACAAATACTGATATGGCAAGAGATACACACCAAACAGGGTGTGTAAATTATTATATATAACAGATTAAATAAGTATTGTGCAACAGCACAGTATTGCACAATAGCACAGTATTACGCAATAGCACAGTATTGTGCAATAGCAAGAAATCTTGAATTGAAAATAAATACAAATCTTTTAACCAATTTCAATGGAAGATTAATTTAAAGTCTTTAATTTTTGGGAGTTCTAACCTTGTATTACTATTTTGGATATTGGGCTCCATTTTTTAATTGGTCTACATTGAGGTCCAAAGGGTCCAAAATTAAACTTTGTTTGATTTCATCAAAAACTGAATAATTGCGGCTCTATGATATGCTGAATCTTATTGTGCATTAATAGATTCTTTATTTTGGGCCCTGTTTTCAAATAAGTCCATATTAAGGTTTGACGGGTCCAAAATTAAACTTTGTTTGATTTCAACTAAAATTAGATTTTTGGTGTTTTTTTATATGCTGAATCTAACCATGTTGTTAGATTTTGGATATTCGACCATACTAGGTAAACTACATATGTCCCATTTCAAATTTTTAAGATCTTTGACCACATTTATTTTGTGTCAGAAACCTATATTATGTCAAAAATTTGATCACAATCCAAATTTAGACAGTATCAAGCTTGAATATTGTGTCCAAACTTTCCCCAACTGTTCAGGGTACGACTTCAGCGGTCGTATCAGGCTGCGCTCGGCGAAGCATTTTATTAATTTTTGCTTATTATTTTGAAAACTATAATAGATAGAGAGAAACTTTGATAAGGAAAAATTATCAGAAAGGCCGAAATGGTCATACAACTCCTTATTTGAGTTATTGCCCTTTAAAGGTAAAATTCGCAATTTTTGACTTATCATCCTATTATGTTCATAATAACATAAAAAACACATCACCAAGTTTTATCTAGATATGAACACTAATAAAGAAGAAAATTGGAAATTATTAATTTCTTTATTGGAATTTACCAGTGTATTGTGACGTACTTTTAAACTGTGGCATGCCGGGAGTGGAATTAATATCAATTAAAGTCTTGTTCGTTAATCACATAATAAAGCAATTTAAAGCACATCAATGACTGTTTTGCACAGCTATTAACCAACTCATAACAAAAATAATAAAACGAACAGCCGTGCAACTTTTTAAATTCTTATGGTAACGGCAGATATATATTTTATGGATTTCTGATAAGCTTATAGTAATAAAAGTGAATCGTACAATAATATTTTTTTGAAAAAAAAATTTTCCGACCGATATGTTGAACAAACATATATAACTGATAATGTGATGACAATGAATGTATGTCAATTTCTGACCTTTTAATTTAGTCTAGCAAACATTTCCCCGCTCGGACTGTGTAAATACAATGTGTGTAGTACTAGTATAGTCTGACACTACCTGGTGAAGGGGTGGTTAAATTCTCGGTAAATAAAAGATCAGCATTCTGTAAATCTATTCTTTTGATTTAGCCTCTAGGGTTCACCATTCGAGGTGTGAATAACATCTTGTAAGGATGATAAGAGAGAAGTGCGAGTTTAAGACACAAAAATTAAAGAAGAAATTAAATCATTTGGGGGAGGAAGATGATGGCAAAATACCTGGATCGTCGTGGTATATTTTTATATATATTTTGCGTAAACTCAGTTTTAGATAAATTATGCTGGATTAATATTTTATTGTGATAATAAAATACCAAATTAATCATAATTGAATAATTTTGTAATGAAAATGGCCCTCAAAAAGGAGTGTATGAACTATTATATATAAAGAAATGTATGAAATGTGCTAAGAAGATTATCAATTGCATTTACCCACCAGGCATTTCAACGTTGATACAACGTTGAATCAACGTTAATCTGTAAAGTTGAAAAGACGTTGAATTAACTGTTGGTTTTGAAAGGCGAAACAACGTTGAATATCTGACATTGAAACAACGTTATATTTTCAACATTGTATCAACGTTGATATTTCGGTGAATATAGGTTGAAACCTAACATTGAAACAACGTCACCCGAATAATGCAACAACATTGATTCATGTTTAAATAAGCAATTCGTTGCTTGTTTTTGGTTCATCTGTCATATTTGTTTGTCGTTTAGGCGGTTGGTTTTTCTCGTTTGAATTGTTTAAAACAAATTGTGTCCGGGTCTTCTATCGCGGACTATACAGTGTGGTGTTTGCTTATTGTTGAAGGCCGTTTAGTTACCTCCATGTCCATTAGACTCTGGTGGATATTTGTCTCATTGACAATCATACCCCATCTCCTTATATCTATAATACTTAGTAACCACAAAAGATATCGAAGCCACATGACTCAGCAAGATTTGAAACAAAACAGTACAACAGATGTCAAGTTATGAAAAAAGCTCATATAGCCAAAAAGTGATCTGGTAAATGAATACAAATAATCTCTTAGTCATTTTTAATAGTTTCTTGAAAATGAATTGTATTCTCTAAACTCCTCCAACCATATCTAGTGCATGATCCTTCTTTAATTTAGCTTCTGTTATTTTTGTGTAGGCATACATTACTCTTTCTGAAAAAAACAACCACAAATAAAAAATATAAATATTTTGTAAACAAGTTAACAATAGTTAACAATTACGTGGAACGTCAAAGGCAGGGAATAAAATGTTATATAAGGCCAGATTTTTATATAAATTTACTGGTTTACATAAACGCTGATCCTTTTTTACATTTTTTCGCTCCTGTACACAAAGCAATGCCACCTATCTCGAGCACCAGGATCTATTGTACAAATGCCACCTATTTCGAGCACCAGGATCTATTGTAACAATGCCACCCATCTCGAGCACCAGGATCTATTGTAACAATGCCACAAATCTCGAGCACCAGGTTCTATTGTTAAAATGCCACCTATCTCGAGCACCAGGATCTATTGTACAAATGCCACATATTTCAAGCACCAGGATCTGTTGTAACAATGCCACCCATCTCGGGCACCAGGATCTATTGTAACAATGCCACCAATCTTGAGCACCAGGATCTATTGTAACAATGCCACCCATCTCGAGCACCAGGATCTATTGTACGAATGCCACCTATTTCAAACATCAGAATCTGTTGTAACAATGCCACCCATCTCGCGCACCAGGATCTATTGTTAAAATGCCACCTATCTCGAGAACCAGGATCTATTGTTACAATGCCACATATTTCAAGCA